TTGCAAGCATGGTATATCTATGGCTGAAATTGAGCTGATAGTACTATAATTGTACTTGTTATTATTATTACATTACAGTGGTACCTTGACTTATGAGTTTAATTCAGTCATTGCTCGTATATCAAATCAATTTTCCTCATCAAAATTAATTGAAATGCCATTAATCCATTCCAGCGGAATTCCTGGGTCTCAGGAGGCAGGAGAAAATATACTTCAATATAATGCTAATATCAACTCTGTGGCTTATTTATCTATCACAGTTGATCTAATATGACATAATAAACAATATAAATAACATAGAAACATGATATATACTCTAGAATGAATAAAATATGTCATGTGACGAGTGGTGGCGGCCACTCCTGAGGTAAATATAATTATCACTCTGACCATATCTTCCCATTCTTGTCCTTCTGAGGTCCTATTATAAGAGAAAACAGTGTTTGTAAGGCTAACTGCACTAGATCACTAGTTTCATAAGGAAAACATTGAAACAAAAGCGATTTTCTCGTGTTTTTTTCTACGATTTCATGTTTTAATTCAATGGACATCATCATCATCATCATCTCAGCACTGTCCTTTGCACTTACTTTATTAGGACCCATGGTTAGAAAAAAGAAATTTGGCAAAATAACTGCACAAAATGCTGGGATGCTGAGCGGATGTTGTGGAGTTTGCTGTGCCAGCTAGTGGCGGCTTATCTGAAGCTCACTCGTAACTCGGATTTTGGCTCACAACTCAAAGCAAATAATTGACCAAGTGATGGCTTGTAACTCGGAAAACTCATAAGTTGGGGCACTTGTAAGTCAAGGTACCACTGTATTATTATAATAACTAGTCACACCGTGCCTTTAAGCCAAACCATTATCCAGGCATCTCCTCCTGACTTCCTACAATAAATATTGCTCTTCTCTCACCAAACATTAAGGCCAAAAAGATTTTAAGGTAAGTGTAATGAGTGTATTGTACATACATATATGCATTTTACTTTTTTATTGTTATTTTAGGCTTACTTCTATTGCTAACTTAATGTATGTGATACTGCAAACATGTTATCAGGCATTTACATACATTTAAAAGTAAAAAAGGAGGTGATTACGGCAATTTTCATTTTACAGCGATAGCCTGAAACCTAACCCACCATATAAGCGGGACCATCCTGTACTATACAGCCTCTCCTCACTTAGCGACGTACTTGTTCAGTGACAGCTCGGGCAGGTGGCGGGCTCTCTGACCAGTTTGCATACCTAAATAATGTATATTAGAGCTGATTTCCTCTATTCTGTTTATTACAGTACAACCTCTCCTCACTTAACAACAGAGTTTCGTTCCTAAGACCACGTTGTTAAACAAATTCGTCACTAAGTGAGGATTATACTATAATGGTGGTGGGTTTGTGTCAACCATCTTTGATATTGTTTTAATGTCAAAGTTGCAGAATTTATAACATTTCTGGTATATTTTTAATTGTCTATGCAGTAGTGTACTGTATAGTGAAATAAACAGAATAGAGAAAATCAGCTCTAATAAACATTATTTAGGTATAAATACGGTGGACCCCCGACCAACGAAGGCATCGTCTAATGAAAAAATCGTCTAATGAAAAAATCGTCTAATGACGCGTTTCATTGTAAAAGTTTTGGCCCGACCAATGAAGGAAAAACTTGATTAACATCATTCGTCCCGAACGCATCCACGTGTTTGTCTGGCCTGAGCGTACCTTAGCTGCCCTGCCTCAGTTAGTGTGCCAGTATTTACAAGCCAGTGCGGTCATTTCCACGCATACATTCGGTACATTTTGTATTCCAGTGTTTTTAGTGCTTGTAACTGTTAAATAAGCCATCATGGGCCCAAAGAACGCTTCTAGCGCCAACCCTGTGGTAAAAAGGGTGAGAATTACAAACAAAATGAAGAAGGAAATAATAACAAAGTACGAAAGTGGAGTGCATATCTCTGAGCTGGCCAGGTTGTATAACAAAGCCCAATCAACCATTGCTACTATCTTGGCCAACAGAAAGGCAATCAAGGAAGCTGTTGTTGCGAAAGGTGCAAGTATGTTTTCGAAACAGAGATCACAAGTACTCGAAGATGTTAAGAGACTGTTGTTGTTGTGGATAAACGAAAAACAGATATCAGGAGATAGTATCTCCCAATCAGTCAGATGTGAAGAGGCAAGGCAGTTGCATGATGATTTAATTAAAAAAATGCCTGCAACTAGTGGTGATGTTATTGAATTCAAGGCCAGCAAAGGTTGGTTTGAGAGATTTAAGAATCGTAGTGGCATACACAGTGTGGTAAGGCATGGTGAGGCTGCCAGTTTGGACCAGAAAGCGGCTGAAAATATGTGCAGGAATTCCAGGGGTACATAGAGGCTGAAGGATTCAAACCCCAACAAGTGTTTAATTGTGACAAAACAGGCCTGTTTTGGAAGAAACTGCCAAACAGGACCTACATTACACAGGAGGAAAAAGCACTGCCAGGACACAAGCCTATGAAAAACAGGCTAACATTAATGTTGTGTAGTAATTCAGAGTGTATCACTCTGAAACTCCCAGAGTGTTCGAGAAAAACAATGTCGTCAAGGCTAATTTGTGTGTGATATTGAGGGCAAACAGTAAGGCATGGGTCACTAGGACATTTTCTATGATTGGTTTTATCATGTGTTTGGCCCCACTGTGAAAAATTACCTGCTGGAAAATAAATTGGACAAATGCCCCCTGGTATTAGACAATGCTCCTGTTCATCCTTCAGAATTGCCAGAGCGAATTTCAGGGAAGTTAAGTTTTATCAAAGTGAAATTCTTGCCTCCTAATACCATTCCTCTCCTCCAGCCCATGGACCAGCAGGTCATTTCAAATTTCAAAAAACTGTACACCAAAGCAGTGTTTCAAAAGTGCTTTGAAGTGACCTCAGACACTCGATTGACCCTAAGAGAGTTTTGGAAAGATCACTTTAGCATCCTCAATTGCATAAACCTTAGAGGTAAGGCTTGGGAGGGAGTGACTAACAGGACCTTGAACTCTGCTTGGAGGAAATTGTGGCCAGAATATGTACAAGAGAGGGATTTTGAAGGGTTTCTGGCTAACCCTGAGAAGCCTATGCCAGTTGTGGAATCTATTGTGGCATTGGGGAAGTCCTTGGGGTTGGAGGTTAGTGGGGAGGATGTGGAAGAGTTAGTGGAGGACGACAATGAAGAACTAACTGCTGATGAGCTGCAAGAGCATCTGTAACAGCAAGAGGCCACAACTGAGGAAATGCTTCAGAGGAGGGGAGAGAGAAATTGAGTAACTTGCCTTCTTCAACGATTAAGGAAATTTGTACAATGTGGACAAAGGTGCAAACCTTTATGGAGGAAAATAACCCTGACACAGCTATTGCAAGCCTTGCTGGTGACTTTTACAATGACAGTGTTGTGACCCACTTTAGGAAAATCTTTAAGGAACGCGAGGTACAGAGCTCTATGGACAGATTGTTGGTGCGACAGAGGTCCAGTGGCTCTCAAGTTGTTCCCAGTGGCATTAAAAGAAGAAGGGAAGTAACCCTGGAAAAGGACTTGGTACCTAAAGTCCTTTTGAAAGAGGATTCCCTTTCCAAACAATTGTAAACAACTCCATTATCTCCTGTCCTCCCATCCCATCACTACATCTTCAATAAAGGTAAGTGTCATTTATACTTCATTTAGTACAGTATTTATTGTGCATGTATCCTTCTTTTTCTGTGTAGGAAAATGTATATTTCATGTGAAATTTTTTTTTTTCATACTTTTGGGTGTCTGGAATTGATTAATTCTATTTCCATTATTTCTTATGGGGAAAATTAATTCAACTAATGATAAATTCGCCTAAAGATGAGCTCTCTGGAACAGATTAATATCATTGGTCGAGGGTCCACTGTGGTGGTCAGAGAGCCCATCATAAATCTGAGGCGTCGGTAAACGAGCATGTTGCTAAGTGAGAGAGGCTGTATACAGTACACTACTGTATAAACATTTAAAAATATACTAAAATTTTTTATAAATAGTGAAAAGGTGACATTAACCCCTTGACTGTCGCAACCCCAAATCCTGAGGTGTCTCCTGGTGTCGCAAAATTTCCAAAAGAAAAAAATTATTATTTTTCTTATGAAATGATAGAGAATCTTTTCCCAATTGTAATGACACCAAAAGAATGAAATTTGATGAAAAACTGACGTAATTACGCTTTCGATAAGTCAGCGACCTCGGTGATATTTATGAATCTGCTATTTCGCCCACTTTGAGCCCTATTTTAGGCTAATTCCATTGTTCCAGTTGACCAAACTCATAGCTATTTCTTTAGAACTCCATTTTTTCTATCGCTTGAGTACAAGAAACTGCCTATTTACTGATTTCAACTACCCAATAATGTGGTCAGAAATTTGCAATTTGGCCAGTTTCACGAAAATTAAAAATGACAATTTCAAAATAGGGTCCAGAATGAACAGTGCAGACATTCCTGTCTCTAAAATATCATTTTCTTTGTTCATCAGTCACGTCTCCAGGCCCCTCTGATATTACTCTTGCTTTCTATTTTGAACTTTTATTCAAACAAAAAATAGAAGATTTACTGTTATGCAGACTATTGCAATATTGTAATAAATCAAAATCACCTCTATTTCTATAATATGTTTTCCATTCTATCAAATGAGACCAAGAAAACGAGAATACAACCATAAATACTATTCAAAAATAGACCACAAAGTCGGCATTTTAATTAAAAAAAAACGGTCGTAGTTTTTTTTCTCATGCACTGCGTGCTGCAGGATTTTTTTTATATGGTGCACACTGACGACACAGACCCATTCTCTCACATGTGGGCCTACCAGATTTCTCCTGCTTGGTTTGAAGCTGCTAGAATTTATGAGTATATATACATCACACACGGGTTAAGTGAGGAGAGGCTGTATATACATCACTCATTTAATGGATTTATTATTGCTAGAAGTAGATCTTTTTTTATATGCTTTGATTTTTTTCTTTTCAGGTAATGTGAAAAAAGAAAGAAGTGATTACCTGTTTAATGAGCAAGCAAAAACTTCAAGTACTGGATCTTCGGAGACAGAGTCATCGAGTCTTAAGGATGGGGAACCCAGAGTATTGGGAAGACTATCAAGCCACGTGATGGGAAAAACCAGAAGGACAAACAAAAGCAGTAGTGAAACCAAAGTATCTGTTAAAAGGCTTGCAAATTCAAGTGCCAGAAAAAAGGATAAGACTGCTAAGACGACAAGTTTGGCCAAACGGAGAGTTGGTATGGCCTCATCTTCTCGTGCAAAAAGTGCTGACTCTTACTCATCAGCTAAAAGAACCAGAAGGGTAACAAAAAGGAAGCTTGAGGCTGGTTCTTCATCAAAGGAGGGCAAAACTTTTGGCACCTACAAAAAATTTAAACATGTAAGAGACAGCATTTCGGAAACCGAAAATAAAAGCACCAAAGCAAAAGAAGGCATTGACAAAGTTCCACTTGTTAATAAAAACATAATAAACAAGCTGTTGAATTTTGGTGCTGAAGTTGCTGAAGCCATGTCTGTTAACAATGAGACAATGCTTGATTTAAGTGCAAATGACAGTACAAGACAAAATCCTCTTCGAACCCTTGAGACTTGTCGGGTAGATGATTTTGATGAAGATGAAATTACCAAAATTATTAATTGGCTAGAGGAGGAAGAGGAGCAGCGCCGAACACACAGGAAAAGAATACTTGACTCAATGAAAGTTTCGCATGAATCCAATATGGCGCTATATACACAGATGTTACAGGTCTTACAGTCTGTTACTTCAAGTGCCTGAGTTGTATTGCTTAGCAAAAATCTGTGTGTACATTTGCACATAGAAAAAACTTCATTCTTTAATTTGTAAGTAAACAAAAGTACAATAGAACCTCACTTTTCCACTACTTTTGATTTATGTAATAACAGTTTACCAAGTAGTGTTTCATTAATACCTTGTATATTTTATATTGTACGAAAGTAAAAAAAATATAATCCTTTAAGGCTCTTCAGTACTGTACCTGTACTACAAAAGATAACCTTAGATATTTGGCATCAGTATATCTTATGGGAAATATTTTTATATAGAAAATAAAACATTTTATCATGATTGAATTTAAAAAAAAGAAAGGTTGTGAATAGTTAACAACTAGCTGGTAGTATAATGGAGCCTCTGCTATTTGCACATGTTGAATCTTGGCTAACTGCATATACCAATTCTGTAATTAGGAACAAGGATGACAAGTAATCTTAAAAATTTCCACTTATATTCAGTATACACGTACTTTTATTTTCCTGTATGCTTCTTCTTAGTTCTTAATTCTGTAATGTAATATTTCATTTCAACCTAGGAGGTTTAGTCTGAGACTGGGCCTTGGGGAAGATGATCCCCAGGACTACTAACAGCTATCTTAGTGCAGTTTTTCTTGGTGACTACTACTAGTTTTCCCTGCTTTATAAAGTTTTTCTTTATGCTATTACATGATTTCACATTTCTTGAGACTATTTTGTATGTGCAATATACATTCACTGTAAGTGATAAATACCGTTTGCAAAAAGTATTGGCAATTCTTACCTGAGTTAATAATTGATGCCCTGAAAGTGTTTAGTAGAACTGCCATGGGCCAGGAATGCATCTATTGCATATAGCAGACATCTGTACCAAATTTGCATACATTAGGGAATATTTTTGTGTAGAGCCCATACCTCACTTAGTGACCTTGTAACTGCTGCTCACTTTTGAAACAAAAACAAAAATCCTCAAGCTTTCCAGCCAAGAAGCCAATAGTCACTGTTGAGTATTCTGTTAACTTCACTGTATTATGCGAAGTACTCTTTGTACCGTACTTTGTGGTACATATAAACGTGCATGGATAAGATAAAAAGAAAAATTTATATTTTGGCCTACCCCTGAGGTCCTGAGCAGACTTAAGAAAAATATACAAGGGATGAAGTTCATATGAAAAAAGATCACTTGAACCAAGTTTTATGATGTTAGGTGCAAGAACTGTCAAGTGTCTGCCAAACTGAAATCAGATACACTAGCAGCACAGATCATTGCTATGCAGTCTTTGTCTATATAATAGACTTAAACTTTTCATCAACCAGTGACCCATATCACAGTAATGATGTTGAACATCATTACTGTCACTATAACAAGGTGATGCACATACTACAGTCATAACAGGAAAACACTTGCATCCTGTGTATGCTGTTACCTGCAACAGTTACAGACTTGCTCTGCTGCTGTATGTGAATACTTAAGTTTTGCGTTTAGTTAAGTGGCAGATAGAGATGCCACTGAATAAGTGGTAGAGTTATGATAACATATTTAAAGTACTTGGTATTTGTAAATTTAAAGGGTGTGAAGGGTTATAAATTATCAGGTTGTCCAGATTTGTCTTTAATATTATATGAATAATTCTTGTCCAGACTTATTAGATTTGATATGTTAATGCATTGTCAAGCAGGAAGTGAGTCATAAAGATTATCTCAGTCTTGATATATAGCATAGCTTTTTTTTTTTTCTTCTTTTTTTTTTTTGTAATATTTATTTAGGTCATTTGTATTGTTGTTTGTAATGCTTGAATTCCACATTTGCCAAACTGAAGGAGTCATTTGTAATTGCCTTTTTTCATTTTTTATTTATTTTTATTTACTTAATTTTCTTATTGTATGAATTTATTACTTAGCTATGAATGTATTTCATTTGTTCTGACACACTAATTGCTGTCAAGAAAAATAAACATCGCAATAATGTGGTTGGAACAATTCGCAAGTAACCGACACTAGAGAGGAAACTTTAGATGATATTTCCATACATTGTGGATGGATTGAAACATGGTTTGAATCTTTCTCTGTGTAAGGAGGCTCTTGTCTTTGAATTGAATATAATTACTTTCCAATCCTCAAGCACTGTATGACCCCTACAGGTTCAACGCTGCCTAATAATAACAATAAAAGTATTTTGGTCATTGCACAATCCAAGGAAGTTATCCCCTTATTCCATAATCCCGGTTAATTGTGCCTCAGTGTATGCTGTCGGAATAGTGCAGAGTTGATGAGTTGACAATACAGTTAAATATTAGTATTGAAAATTTGAAGGCAATCAGAAGTGGAACAAATAAGTCATATGGAAACTAATATCCCAACTTTTTCAATGAAAATTGTAAATTAGGACATACTGTATGAACTGAATCTGATTCAAACCTTTCAAAGATACCAGTAATATCCTAAAATAAACAAGCACATTAAGCTTAAATCTGTACACAACCAGGGGCTTTCTGTGAAATACAGTATCTCGGTATCGCCTTCTCCGTATGAATTGTAATCCATACTTTGCATTATCATTGCATAACATAGAAGACTGAAGGTAATCAGATGCAGCACTCTGATGATGATCTATCCTGCAATAAATTTTGTCATTCTGAGGGGTGCCTTGATGTTAAAGAAGGGCTCTTGGTTCAAGGAATTGGAGCTACTGTTCTATTCCTTGGATCAACTCTAATTATATTCCATTACCCCAGGTGCTGTTTGACCTATAGGGTTCATTGTTTCCTAATAAATATCAGTAGTACTACTAATAAATTTGGCATATAATTTTATTTGACTTTGTGTTTCAGACCCTTGTGTGTTAATGTTGATAAAGGACTTTTGATAAAGGGATTAGCTCTTACTTTTATCAGACCTGATTGCTTTCCATTCCTCCTCCAGGTGGTGGATGTACCCTATGGGTCCATACAGCACCTGGGATAGGAATAGAATAATTCTGTTGTAGGAAATTCATTGAATGCATTTCGAATAAATTCCTATGGTTATTTTTCAATTTAAGAGTATTACACAAAGCCATTAAAAAAAAGCAAGCACTGAAAAACTGAGGACTGAGGAAAGAATGTTAACACTTATCAAGCCCTGTTGTAGATCTACACTTACAAGAGGACCAGGAACTAGAATTTGACCCAGTCTTTCACTGAAAATGTGCAGTATCATACAGTACACTGCACGTATATAAATACTGTACATGCAAACCTTGAAACATCAAATAATAAATGCTTAAAAATAAAGAAAAGAAAATTGACGATAAATATATTAGGAATGTAGTGCGTCTTCTGGTCGATTTTGATAGAGGTTGTGCAGCTCTGGTGTGACTCACACCTGGGTGACAATTTTTTTTGAACTAGCATTACACAAATAACCGACACACAGGAGAGAGGAGCTTACGACGACGTGTGACTGTAAATGGTCTAAGAAGGACCAAAACGTTGTCGTAAGCTTCTCTTTTGTGCGGGTTATTTGTGTGTTGTTCCAGTCACGGCATTGTGCCTTTTTTTTATTTATTTATGAACTAGTATTGTAATACCGACAAGTAGGTAAAAGGCGCGTATGCTCTGATCAAGACATTTGTGAAGAAAACGGTTCGTCATGGGTGACGTCAGACATAATCCCGTCAAGGAAGGTTCCTTGATGCTGGTGAGGGGCTCTTGATCTAGGGAATTGGATCTGTGATCCAGTTCCCTGAATTAAGCCTGAATGCTTTCTATCCCCCACCCCAACAGGTGCTGTATAATCCCTATGGGTTTAGCGCTTCCCATGATAACAGCAATAATAATGCAGTCTTAACATAGAGAAGCTAGAACAAGCAGTATACATGTATATAAATATAGTTGCGAGAGGTCAAATGAGCAAATGTTAAAAGTGGAATTAACATCTTGGGTAACAATAAAATTGGTTGGGAAAATATGTGTGAGTATAAAACAAATTCCAACCAGCAGGTCGCTCCTGTCTGTCTCAACTACTGGATCACTACAAGGTCCTAGATGCACTAGAAGACAAAAAGAATCCAGATGTAATATGTACAGACTTCGCAAAAGCTTTCGACATGTGTGACCATGGCGTAACAGCGCACAAAATGCGTGCTAAAGGAATAACAGGAAAAGTTGGTAGATGGATCTATAATTTCTTCACAAACAGAACACACAGAGTAGTAGTCAACAGAGTAAAGTCTGAGGCGGCTACGGTGAAAAGCTCTGTTCCACAAGGCACAGTACTTGCTCCTATCTTGTTTCTCATCCTCATATCTGACATAGACAAGGATGTCAGCCACAGCACCATGTCTTCCTTTGCAGATGACACCCGAATCTGCATGACAGTGTCCTCCATTGCAGACACTGCAAGGCTCCAGGCGGACATCAACCAAATCTTTCAATGGGCTGCAGAAAACAATATGAAGTTCAACGATGAGAAATTTCAATTACTCCAATATGGTAAACATGAAGAAACTAAAACTTCATCAGAGTACAAAACAAATTCTGGCCACAAAATAGAGCGAAAAACCAACGTCAAAGACCTGGGAGTGATCATGTCGAAGGATCTCGCCTTCAAGGACCATAACATTGTATCAATCGCAGCTGCTAGAAAAATGACAGGATGGATAATGAGAACCTTCAAAACTAGGGATGCCAAGCCCATGATGACACTCTTCAGGTCGCTTGTTCTATCTAGACTGGAATATTGCTGCACACTAACAGCACCTTTCAAGGCAGGTGAAATTGCTGACCTAGAAAATGTACAGAGAACCTTCACGGCGTGCATAACGGAGATAAAACGCCTCAATTACTGGGAGCGCTTGAGGTTCCTGAACCTGTATTCCCTGGAATGCAGGCGCGAGACATACATGATTATATACACCTGGGAAATTCTAGAGGGACTAGTACCAAACTTGCACAGGAAAATCACTCACAACGAAAGCAAAAGACTTGGCAGACATGCAACATCCCCCCAATGAAAAGCAGAGGTGTCACTAGTACGTTACGAGACAATACAATAAGTGTCAGGGGCCCGAGACTGTTCAACTGCCTCCCGGCATACATAAGGGGGATTACCAATAGACCCCTGGCTGTCTTCAAGCAGGCGCTGGACAAGCACCTAAAGTCGGTACCTGACCAGCCGGGCTGTGGCTCATACGTTGGATTGCGTGCAGCCAGCAGTAACAGCCTGGTTGATCAGGCTCTGATCCACCATGAGGCCTGGTCACAGACCGGGCTGTGGGGGCGTTGACCCCTGGAACTCTCTCCAGGTAAACACAATAGAGTGAAAAACCTGGGAGTGATAATGTCAGAGAATCTCACTTTCAAAGATCACAACAATGTATCTACTACATTTTCTAGGAAAATGATAGGCTGGTAATGAGAACCATGATGATGCTCTTCCAATCGCTTGCTCTCTCTAGGCTGGAATATTGCTGTACACTACCGGCGCTTTTCAAGGCAGACGAAATTGCAGACCTTGAGAATATAAAGAGAACTTTCATGGCACGTATAAGTACGATAAAACACCTAAATTACTGGGAACTGTTAATTCCCTTGATTTGTACTTTTTGGAATGCAGGCGAAAAATTAACATGATAATATACACTCGGGGAATCCCAGAGGAACTAGTCCCAAATCTGCACATGAAAATCACTCCCTATGAAAGCAAAAGACTCAGCAGGAGATGCAGCATCCCCCCCATCCATGAACAGCAGGGGCGCCATAACACGAAGGAAGGTCACTGTAATGGATCAGAGAATACCTGACAGGGAGGCAACAACGAGTCATGATACGTGATGAGGTATCACGGTGGGCGCCTGTGATAAGCGGGGTCCCACAGGGGTCAGTCCTAGGACCATTGCTGCTTTTGGTATATGTGAATGACATGATGGAAGGGATAAACTTTGAAGTGACCCTGTTTGCAGATGATGTGAAGTTAATGAGGAGAATTAAATCAGATGAGGATCAGACAGGACTACAAATAGACCTGGACAGACTGGACACGTGGTCCAGCAACTGGCTTCTCGAATTCAACCCTGCCAAATGCAAAGTCATGAAGATTGGGGAAGGGCAAAGAAGACCTCAGAGTATAGGCTAGTTAGACAATGACTGCAAACCTCACTCAAAGAGAAAGATCTTGGGGTAAGCATAACACCGAGCATGTCTCAGGAAGTACACATCAACCAGATAACTGCTGCAGCATATGGGCGCCTGGCAAACCTGAGAATAGCGTTCCGGTACCTCAGTAAGGAATCGTTCAAGACACTGTACACTGTGTACATCAGGCCCATACTGGAGTATGCAGCACCAGTTTGGAACCCACACCTGGTCAAGTATGTCAAGAAATTAGAGAAAGTGCAAAGGTTTGCAACAAGGTTAGTTCCGGAGCTAAGGGGAATGTCCTACGAAGAAAGGTTGAGGGAAATCGACCTGACGACATTGGAGGACAGGAGGGTCAGGAGAGACATGATAACGACATACAAAATACTGTGTGGAATAGATAAGGTGGACAGACAGGATGTTCCAGAGAGGGGACACAGAAACAAGGGGTCACAATTGGAAGCTGAAGACTCAGATGAGCCACAGGGATGTTAGGAAGTATTTCTTCAGTCATAGAGTTGTCAGGAAGTGGAATAGTCTAGCAAGTGATGTAGTGGAGGCAGGAACCATACATAGCTTTAAGACGAGATATGGCAAAGCTCAGGGAGCAGAGAGAGAGAGGACCTAGTAGCGATCAGTGAAGAGGCAGGGTCAGGAGCTGAGTCTCGACCCCTGCAACCACAATTAGGTGAGTAAAAGTACGCAAAAGAGACAACACAGTAAGTGTTAAGGGCCCAAGACTGTTCAACTGCCTCCCTGCATACATAAAAGGGATTACCAATAGACCCCTGGCTGTCTTCAAGAAGGAGCTGGACAGGCACCTAAAATCAGTACCTGACCAGTCGGGCTGTGGTTTGTACGTTGGTTTATGTGCAGCCAGCAGTAACAACCTGGTTGATCAGGCCCCGATCACCATTAAGCCTGGTCACAGACCGGAATGTGGGGGCGTTGAACCCCGAATCCAGGAAACCGTAGGCCTCTTGCAGTGCAGTGCCTCTTGGTGCAGCTGGTGTCATCTAATGGCAGTGTTGAGTACCAGCCGTTGTGCAGGGTTCTGGATATTTCTATAGTTGCCTGATTTTGCGGAATGGTGTTGATTTTCCCCAGCATTGCTGCTTCCAAATAATTTTCGACAACTATTAATTTGACTTCTTTGAACTTAATGATGTAACCCTCCGCTGTTTTACGTTGAACGCCGTGATATTTTGATTGTCCCGTCTGCATTTTTTTGGTGTTGTCGAAGTCTGAATTCAAGTGTTCATGATCTTTCATCTAAGTACTTTTTGTTGCATCCTAAGCAAGGTATGATGTATACGCCAGACTTGGTGGTGGTATTGTTTAGATGTACTTATTCTTCATAAACTAAATCTTTGATGGAAGTCAAGGTGTTGGTGTGGACTTTCATATGTCCGTCCGTCGTCAGCAACGATTCATCAGAAGCCATGTTGTGCGTGGCTCTTTCCCACCAAACATCAGTGACTCCACTCAGCTCACTAACTGAGGTCCGTGGATCGATCCCTGGTACGGGTGGAAACAAAATAGGTACCTGGGTGTAAGTGAACTGGTGTGGATCGCATCCTGAGGACATAATTGATCTAATTTCTCGGATATACTCTGCATAACAAGGGACTTTCTATATAGTAGTATGTCATTGATGTGAGCTATGGTCTGTATACCTTGTACATGTACTTGTAGAA